CCTGCTGATATCAATGAGAATTTCCTACTGACTTCACAGACAGCAAAGTTTGCCAATGCTGTATGTTTTGTAAAATTCCACACTATGTCAACAAATCCATGATTTCCATTCCCAATTATTACTTCTTCTCAAAAAGGTCCCTCTGAGGATGGTTCACAGAGCATGGAATTCAACTGTGGGTGTCTGTACTGGCAATCGTATGGTATTATGTGTCATTTGGGTACTTGGTTTCAGGCACTACGTATAGCTGTTAGGTATTACATATAGAAATATTATAGCCATATGGGACAGAATAACACATGATACATCAGCTTCAAAGAAGAACTCTCCCAAAATATTCAACTCATGGAAAAAGAAATGGCAAAGCCAAATACAAGCAATACTACTTTTACAAGCAGCTCTGTTGTGTCTGGACCCATGGTGTCACTAATCCTTCCTACTTAAAAAAATACATTTTATTACTGGAGCAGGCTGAGAGTACGCCATTCTCTATTTCTCAGAAAGCATCATGTTGCAGATCGTTTTAAGTTAGAGCTGATTTCATGCTTCCCGCACTGCTCCAAGCAGTGGTTTCATTTAGACATTCAAAATGCCATCTGTGAGCTGCTGTGAGTGTGGGGCTATGTGCACTCAGCCTTCACCCAGCAGAAACTGGGACATTCAGTACCTCTTGACATCAGCACTCAATGTGAGACTTATATTTCTGTTTGCATGGAAACACTAACTTGCTCACATGTTGATTCAGAGCTACAAAGTCCAATACAACACAGTACCAAAACCCATCATGATTTCACCAGTAATGGAACAATCACTCTACCAGTTGATGAAACCTATTGTCCTTTTGTGTGCTGAAGAACGGAAGAAATAATGTCTTTTGTAGCAATGAGAGAAATTGGTGAAAAGCATATTTTAAAACTTAGATCAATAAGAGAAAAAACTCAGCTCAAAGTCTGGTTACAATTCTATTATCCCATTTTTTTCTATTAAATAAAGAGAATTTAATCTAAAAAAAAAATCGGCTTTGACAACTACCAAGACAAAAATGATTTCTCCAGCTTTATATGCCTACAACAGAGTATTTAGAATACCATTAATACGGCCCTGTTGGTTTATGCCACACAGTGTTGGCCAAATTAGACCTCCTGCAAAGACAAGTTCCCATAGTCTATTCTATACATGCATAGATATTCAGCTTGTCCTGAAGGTTTGCAAAAGTTTTTCTCTTTTGCACGTTCTGTTGCAGGAACAGTTTTTAAATAACAAGGGAATACTAATCTCATGCCTTACTTTATGGAGAACTAAGCCACCACTTAGTCTTCACATCTTCAGCTGCATGAAAAGATGTATGATATGCGTTCAAAATGCAGAAAGCCTGTGTTCCACTGCACATCATTGAACATCTTCTTCCATCTTTAAACGATAACATTCATTTGAAAGGATTTTTTTCCACTATTAAACAAACTGCTTGTTTAAAATAATTACTCCCCGGAAACTAGAAACTGAAATTTCTCTCTCTGTGAAAAAGGACAGAGGACTCTAGCAGGAGGCTAAAAGTAGCAATGATATTCTTTTTAGATAATGAAGATACTTGTTTACATTTCAGAAATTAGAATTCTGTCTATAGGGTTCAAGAAGACTTCATTACGGTAACCCAGGACAGTTCACCTCCCCCACCCAAGTGTGTAGAGTCTCAAGCATGTTTTATCTTCTTGTTGCAGTAGGCTGGGGTAGTTCACCCCCCTACTCCTGTGTCTGCACATACCCCTGGCACAGGTGCCACTATGACAGGAATTCAGACAACAGCACCTGCATTACATCAGCAAGTTTGCTAATGAGCGGAACAGGACATTGCATATGCATGATATGTTAATCAGCACAAGTTTTATTATCCATCCCTGTGGTGCTTTCCCTTGAGCTTCACTCCTGAGCAGGGCTGCACTGCATCGGGTCCCCATTTGATCAGCGCCAGTGTCCTGGTGCTCCCACCGTTGTAATGCTACGCTTTCCATAAAGCCAAAGCTTTCACTTGCTGAGTGTTGTGCCTCATCCCTAAGGGATCTGCACCTGCCTTTCATGTGTAACCATTTTAATTATGTTTGGAGAAATGCAGTAATTTTTGTAGTATGTGCAGTAACATATTGTGATAATGAAAACATACTCATCTTTTTACATTATAGCCTTGCTTTAACAAAAAATACATAGAGTACTTAATTCTAGTGAAATGTTTTGCTGAAGAAAATTCTATTAGCATAACTATATGCCTATTTCAGGTAACTGAAAAACCCAATCATTCTGATACCTACAGGCCATTGGATAAAGGTCGGACATTAAGTCCTGAATTCAGGCTTTAGAAAATAATAAATGGCTGGAGTTTCAATTTGAATTACACACGTTAACTTCACTCAGCTTTCAAATATTGCATCCTGACATCTGTGGATGTACGTGTTTTTTGCATCTCTTGTTTCCCTTTTTCACAATCTCCTCTTATGCTTATTTTTCCTTCTTGGCTCCCATTTACAGTTTCCTGTATGGGCCTTTCCTGCTACATACCTAATCCTTCCTCTTTCCTGGCCAGCAAATAGTTGCAAAGCAAACAAACAGCAGTAACGCACACCTCTGTGTGTTTCAGGCCTAAAGCAGCTGCAGAGCTTGGGAAGAATTTGTTTCCCTGCTATAATTACTGTCATGACATGGGCATTGCTCATTTTTACTGTGTATTGGGTGGAGGGCTTGGGAAACAACGCTTGCAAATTTCTATGTCATGACTCTTCCCCCAGCTGCACCCTTCCAAAGTAGTTGTGGGAAATAATGGAGAAAGGGGAGTGCATAATTGAACAGCTTTGTTACCAAATAGCCTTTTGCCTTTGATGAAAACTTCTCATGTAAAAAATGCCACTTTTACAATACAAGTTGATTTGTTTGAAATCACAAGAAACTGCAAAATGGGTTCATATGATCACAGTTCTAAAGAATAAGGAAACCAGTAAGTGCATATTAACTAACAAACCAACCGATCTTTTTTTTTTTTATTCAAGTCTGGACATCTTAAATGCACTTTCATCATCCTGTTTATCGGTATATAAGCACCTTCCAATTTTGATCTGCACAGAACCCAAAGGATGTGGAAGCATTTTTATAATTTTTTAATCAAATGTCTAAGTAATCTTACCAGCTTGCCAGGCTGGTAAATATTGAAAAAAGGCTAAGCGAGCTGCCTAGGGCTGTCCACTTCTTCACTGACAGAAAATACTGAACTCTGGGAACTCTGAATCTCACACCATTGCTCTGTTCATCAGCAGAAACATCCAGGGAATTGAACAATGTCTCATTACTTCAAAAAAATGGCTTTAACTACGGCATCGTGACTTTACATGTTGCCTCTTGCCCTCAGCCACATTAAAAATTACTTTGAATCGTATCTCCAATCTGCTAGTATTTTGATCATAATTTATAGTAAATTCCTGTATTTTTGTACTCTCTAATACTTTCTCCCTCCTCCTCTCCCCCACATTAAAAATATCCAACAAAATGGAACCCAAAATATAACCTCAGAGGAGTGCTAGGAAGGGGAATACTACTGAAATTCAGGCCAGAGAGACTTTCAAAATGGTGTGTAGGCTGTGCACAAATTTTATCCTCTGCCTTTGTCTACCAATGCTAAAAATATTTCCTGTGCTGCAGAGCTGCAATACAGATGCAAAAAAAAAAAAAGGCAAAAAAAAAAGCACAGGTATGATTTATTCTGTTTTGTGCAAAGCTGCTCTATTTGTTCTAATTCCAGAATGATCCATGCAAATGACAGCCCTTACAGGAAGCTCCTACAGAGACATGAAAAGCATGAAAACTCTAAGATCGTAGAGAATTTAGTATAAAATCTTAATTTGTACTAAGAAACCTTCAAGAACTTAAAAAAAATAAATCTAACAGACTAAGAAATTAGAAGAATTTTAAAAAAGCCTTTTATAGTAATTATACTTTCCTCTTAAGTTCATTGGATAGACAAAACCAGAAGAGAAGCGTCTCTTCTCAAATGGCATTCCTCCAATAGAAGTGAAAGAGAAGGAGGCCCCATCTTTTTCTATTAAACTATGTAGGTTTTTCCAATATGAGAGTAGGCAGAGGGAACAAACACAACTCAGACTGATCTTCAGATTCCAGATGGCACTTGAAATATTATTGTCAGCTGGAAAGAAAATCCAGATGCAAATCTGACATGTGAGACACTAGGCAAATCTGAAACACAGTCCAAACCAAAAAACCCAAACCCATGTTGGCTAACAGCACTTTCAGTTGCTTTGCCTTCTGAATGTAGGAAAATGTAAGGTCTGCTACTGATTTTCTACAGGTGACTGCCATTTCTCAAGTTGCTGTTTATGTCATCTATCTACATTTTTTACGAAGCAAACCCACTTCCTGAATAATCCTTTCCTGTTCAGTATTTCTTATATATTTATGTATCCATAGTATTCTGGAGGGGCAGATAGCTTGGTAAGGTGAAAACAAAGTTCTTTGCATGTGACAACTGTGCTGTGAATTTTTTTTTTGCTAAAATTGCCAGTGATAATAGTGCCAAAGTAAGTGAGGTGAACTGAAGGAGAGGTTTTACAGCGTTTGTGGATTTCCTTCCGGACAGGCATTCACTAAAGCAGCTAAGTGGCTGGGGGGTGCCCCATGGACCCCATCAGGCAGCGCAAGGCTCAGCTGGATTAGGAAAGACTGCCTAAAAGTGAGACAGTTGCATACACCATCACTAGTTCCCTGACCCGGATCCACCTTCCTCCCCCAGCTAACACAGCTGTGATGAACTGTCAGTCTGAGAGGAACTACTTTGAGACTGGTTTTGCTCTTTTTATTTACCTGAAAATTTGAACACAGTTCTAAAAGACTTACTCTGCTTTTTCTTTTCCCCTTTACAATTGGTTGATAGTCAGGAATTTGTAGGAATGTAGTATTTAGGTACATCACTGATAATAAACGACACCACTGAATAATGTGTTCATACTCCCAGAAGTGAGGATATAATTCTGTCCCCACTTTTGAGTTGAAGTGGAGATCACATGCCAACAGGACACTAATGCACACTCCAGTTAACATATGTATTTAAAAAATGAAATGAATACAGAAATTATGGGTAAAAAATGTAAATGTATATGACAAACATTATTTTACAGTGAGGCATTTAGCTAGTATTTTAACAGTGCAGTGTGTTGAGATAAAAGTCAGAGTAGACCCACTGGATGGACAGGCTGCCAGCTGATGAAATGGATCCAGACATTGCATCTGGTCAGCCTTAATGGTGTGCTTCACAAATCAACAGAAAGTGAAAAACAAGAAGAAAAGTAAGTTAGAAATTTTAGAGTAGCATACTTTTTTTGTACATTTCTCAGACACTAGGATAATCTCCAGGAGCGTGGCTCAAATGTATATGCACTTCCAAGATCATCACTTTTACTGAATCCCAAACTTGCAAATAATGTTGCAGTAGTAAAGGCCAAAATATAAAGAAAACTGCAAAGAAACCCTTTTGGTTTGCTCAAATAATAGTAATAAAAATATCTGCTCCAAGCTATAAAGTTCAATTGCAGTTTAGATGTAGCATAACAATTTTAGAACATGTTTATCTTATTTGAGAAAGTACAAACACTGTAGTACTCTAACATGAATACTGTGGCTGATTTAGCTTAGAACAACTTGGAAAACATATAAAAAACCAAATTTCTAAATAGTGAAAAAATATAAGTGTACTAGTAAAACCTTTTGGGTGCCAATCAGGTAATTTTGATTATATAACATCACCAACCATTTGCTCATGCTCCTAATCTATTCCAGAGGTAACATTTTTGAGACAACTGAGCCTCAGACAGACATGACATATTGCATGTATTTTGTGCTGAAAGAGTGGCAGATTCTAATTCCCTGCATCATCTGTCTCTCAGGAATGAGGAACTGGGTACTGGTTTTCATTTTGGCATCACTACTTTTGCTGCAACTCCTAGTTGCCTTGACACGAACAGACTAACAACATGTGTACGCTTATAGCTGGAGTTGAAACCATCAGGAATTTTGCTTTCCCTAAGCCTTGGAAGTGATTACGCTGCATCTTTTTGCAAGGTTTAAATGTTAGGCATCTGAATAATACACAAGACTATCCCTAAATCCTCATGCAAGGGTATGGAGCCTGCCACCCTCTTTTCATACTTAAAAACCTTACTTCATTCAAAGACACTTTAGTTTCTCAGGTTTTGGGGTTCTAAACTATAATCAGCACTTCATTAAAAAAATACCAAGAACTTTTTATTCAGCCAATTGCCATGTTTGTTGCACTATGGTAGTTACTTAGTACAACATCAATAAATGGCCACTTATAGAGGGACAGACAGAATTCTGCTTGTGGAAGGAAGTCATAGTTTAATGGGATAAACCTTTATCCCTCTATTATGCTTTTGGAGCAAGATGAAATTTCATACCCCCAGCTATTATGCCTTTGGAATGAAATGAATTTTTAGAAAGAAAAGAAAAGGAAAAAGGATAAAAATGAGGGAATCAGGTAAAAAGCTAAACTCAGTGAGAAACTTTGTGATTTTAGGTATTTGCATGCCATGCAAATGCCTCTGAAAATGAAGTGGGGAAGTAAACATAAAAAAAGAGGTTTCATCTGTATCAACAGTAATGATTCTGTGCTAACCAGAAAGAAGAAATGAACATGGAACTGCTGAATTATCATCTGCCATGTGATATGTATATGTCTGTCCATCTGAAACTCTGTTAAGTTGGAGGGATTATTGGTGATATAGATACATTTATTACCTTAACCAGCTCAGGAAAAGTCAACACCTTTTTTCCATTCAAACTTGGTCAGTACTGAACAAGCAGAAGATAAATTATGAAAACACTGCCCTTTCCTAAGGTGGTACATAGGATAAAAAGGAATATCTTAAAGAGAGCTTTAATGGATGCCATCTGCCACTGGAAAAGATACTTCTAAATGCTGCCAAGGCTTACACATATTTAAGTAGGAATGATGAACATCAGTTGCATGTCAGTGTTTGCTAAAGATACATTGTTTGTGATTCTTAGTTTGTTCATCTACCGCATCATTTCTCGTGACCACCCCTCTCTTTGGTGTAATGCACTGGGTGGCACCAGGAAGTCTAATTTAAATAGAAAACTGGCATTTTCCTGATCGCCAGCCAAATGAATCCTGAGGAGATAGTATAGGAAATACTGGCTTTCGTTCTGTTTGCACTGATGTGAGCTCAGTCTTGCCTTCCAATAAATAAATAAAGCAAAATTCTAATAATGGATCTACTGTCTCCAAAGAATTGCATCACATGGTTTAGCACAAAGGTGGTGGCAGTGAGTAGGTAACAGAGAAAAGAAAACATATTGGATTAGATCCTCATGAAGTGCAGGAGCTGAAGGTCTAACCCAGTATTATTAGACTTGATGCTCAGTATGAAGTTACGTAAAAAGTATTTAGGTCTAAAATCAAACCAATGAATGAGAAAAAAGAAGTGACTTTTTATGTCCCAGGTATACCAACAAACTCATGGTGGATACCTGGGAGGGTGCCCCTGTCACCCAACTCGTAAAAAGGAACCATTTGAAATGTTCTTTATATGCAACATAATTTAGCATTACAGATTTTTGGTTAAATAATTGCGAAGTTATGCCAGAAGCATGTTCTGAAACTGACAACCCAATATTAGCTAAAAAAATATTTTTGTGACCATTCTCTGTGATGAAGGAGTTCCTCTGTCCTGAGCCATTTATTGAGGACACATACATGATCTAATAGGACATCATCTGATCAAAGTTGGATACCTGACTTTGGAGTATGAGAATCATAAACTTGCTTACGGTCTATCTGGTCTGCAAACACTTCCCCATAGATCATCCAGTAAGGCATGTAAAAAATGTTTTTCGCCAGCTTCCATGAAGGCTCCTCATTGGGGAAAAGAATAGCCTGTCTCGCGACACCGAAGCTCATCAGAACCACCAACATGATGATGACAAAGTACATCATGTCTATCATCTGAATTTAATGACAGGAAAAGAGAGAGAAAAAGAAAGAAGGGACAAGAATTAGAGGCACTTATTTGTCCGTATTCCTATTATTACATGCTGCAAAAAAAGTCTCTAAATCTTAGAAACAGAATTTTCAAAAACAAATTTTGAAAAGCCATTCTCAGTTTTACACATAACAAATTTAATTTTCAAAGAAGTGAAGCAGTATTATTGTGTCCGTGGTTTTACCCAGTGTTTCTTTTAAGAACAATTTAAGTGTTATGAATAGGCTTGAAAATACAAGATACCATGTGGTCACACCAGTTGCCTGAACAAGAATATAGGTTCACTGGAATCAGCAGCCTGGTCTGGAGAAGGGTCACGAGATGATGTATTTTTCATAGGCACCTAGTGGCAACTGTACCAAAACAAAAGCGCTGACAGGATTATTTTATTCTCTGGTAGTCATTGTCTTGGAGCAAAGGAAGGAAGCTGCATATAACATAAGGAGTAACGGGTGGCAGAACAGCCTGTTACTGCAACATAAGGGACACCATGGTGGTAACCAGTGAGAAAGGAAAGCTGTGATACTGGCTGGACTAGAAATCAGCTTGGTGGGGGAGTCTGACAAAGGCCATATTTAAAAAAAATAAATGCAGATAACACAGACACTCAACTCCATTCTTCTCCATTGTTGAGGGCCTCATTAGCATATGCACAAATTTAATTACTGTTTGCAAACAGTGCCTACCCATTCAAAATGTTCCTGGAAAAAGTGGGACAGCAGTCCTAGGAGGTGCTGAACAGAGGCTGAAGATTAGAAGAGGAGCTGTGCTAGAAAAGACCTTCTAGAGACCAGAGCAGTGGGCATCAAGCAGGTACAGCAGAGATGCTTTATAACCCAAAATGAGTGTAAAAAAATGGGAGTCCTGTTAGTAACCTGGTAAGATCCCTTTAAAACCTTTAGTTACAGGTTTACTTGTAGGTCTTTAGTTTTTGTTACTACAGGGCTGTTTATCATAGCTTTAGATGAAACTTTTGTCTCTGCCCAAAACTTGACCCAAAAGTCCTCTAAACCTTATGACTTTTAGTCCCTTCAGTCTCTGCATTTTCTGGCTCAGCTGCATTCTCCCTTCCTTGCGAGGCAGGTGTGCAACCAACCTGCACCTCAACCCATGGCTTTATTGCTCTTTCGGGGACTTGCTGCAGTGCAAGAGCAGGGTTGCTCATGACAAGAGCTGGTGGAAGAGAGGACTCATTTGCAGCAGACTGATCTGGCACTGCTGCTGGGGTTCTTCAGTTTTAAAGCACAAGGAGAGAGGCCTGAGGTCAAAGTAACACTGGGAAAGTATCTAACAGAGAAAAGGGAGGGATACACAGGAGCAAACAGAAAAGGATATTCTCATATTTACTGAGAGAGAGGTTGTAGGAGAAAGACACCTGTAGGGCAGCACTCTGGTAGGAGAGACTCAAGGAGCTGGAGAGAAGGAGCTGGGGACAAGTGAAAAAAAGCAGGGGAAAACAAAAGTATTGAGGTCAATAAAAAATGCAGGAAAGAAAGAAAAAAAACTGGGGACATGAGAGAGGAAAATAAATGCCTTAAAGAATTGAAAAACAAAAATGTAAATCACCAACATTCCTGTGTTATTCAGAGCATTAATCCCTCAAGGAAACCTGATTGAAAAGGAATTCCAGATCATTGTACCTCAGAGAGCATCCTGAAATGGGAAAGCTGCATAATTACATTTAGTTCTTACTGCTTTTAGGGAGGGAATTTGGAGATGAAACCTGGTTCCTCCTTTCTTCTCTGATGAAACTTTGTTTCAGGCAGAAATATATAACATGATATGATGCAATATAAGACCTGTTTTAAAATGTCATGCAAGCAAATAAACATAATGAATATTTGGTGGCAATTTAAGACAATTTCTTAAACGCTTCCAGTTCTTTTTCATCAGGAATCACACAGGTTTGACCTTATGTTTCAAGAAATAAAATTTTCAGGGCTATTTGCTATTCAAGCTGCATATTAGCTTTTCCCTCCTTCAGTTGGGTGTCTTTCTAAAACCTCAGTAGCTTGTCTGAAATCCAGTGAAATAGATAGGTGAGTTTCCATTTACTCTAATGGACATTGTATCAGGCCCTTTGGCCAGTAGGGTCAAATTACAATTGCTATTTTCACAAGGCGGTGGCTATTTCAATCATTCTGAAGAACTCATTAGTCACCTATTTTAAAAAGTGATAAAATGAGGAACTGTTGGTGCAGTTTTATAAACAAGCTGGCTCCATTTTCCCTTTTTTGTTTGCAGAGAAGCTGAGAAAATGTAGACATTCCCACAGAGTACAGGAACTGATATTCCTCTGACTCTCTTGACATGCCACAGTGATTTCATTTCATTCCCACATAAAAGGGGAGTAAATCTATCACTGTGCAGAGATTAGAAAAGCACACTATAATAAGCGTATTCTGTAACTGAAATTAGTAGATAATAACAAACTTGGCCATTCAGCTTCCTCCTCCTATCTTCACCTTTGCTTTAGCCCATTGCTTTTAAACCACTCAAGTTCATTCCTGCCCCTTGCTTAATTTCACTTCCATATTTGTTCACAGTGCCCAGAGGTAAAACCTATTACAGGTTATTTGTTGTATACCATGTAGAGGCAGGTGAAGAGAAAGTTCCTGAACACTGGAAAGATAGAAAGAGTCATCTTTTTCCTGCAGAGTCTAAAACTTACAATAGAAGCTGAGGATAAAATCTCAAGTGTTAAATATGGTCTGTTGAGGAACTCAATAGCTGTGATGGGCTTTCTCCGTAGAAATATGTATAACCAGCTTGATGTTCCCCACAGTTCTGGATGGCACTTGCAAGACCATGAAATGAAAAAGACAGAACCCAAGGAGGTAAATGGACATGTGATTTAAACAAAAATACACAAGGGAGCTCATTGCAGCCTGCAGCAAGCAGGTGCAACTCCCAGGGAAGTCTGTACATGATATAAAGGGGCTGGCCATTACACAGGGGAATAAGTTGGCCAGGCGAGAGGCAAATTTGTGTAATTCAAGCCAGCTGGGCATTGCATGTCTGGGCAAAGTGGATGTGTCAGAGTTGCTGAGTGCCTGGATGAGGCATGAAAATCAAATAATAGGAAGGCACAAAATAAAAGAACTTCCCTCCTTTAACAGTTGCCCACACCTTCAGAATGCTCTGGTAGCTAAATTCAACACCCTCTGAATTGGTGCTGAGCCTACAGAGGCTAGTGATTTTCTTGCATTTGTTTTCCACCGAAAGTGGAGTGAGGCTTGACTTGTTGTACACATGCAAGGATGACAAAGGAATGGAAATTATATTATTTTGCTGATTCCAACCACTTCCTTTCTTTTTTGTCCCCAGGAGAAAAATAAACCACTGTTTATACTATTGGTGAAGCTGGGCTCCTATCAGCCATCCATAACACTGACTGCTAGAAGTTTGTTATTCATGGCCAATCTGTTTATTATTGAACTGGTTTTCAGACTGCCTTTGATAGCACCACATCTTTGAAACATTTTGTGCATGGCACCTGTGAAAAATACAACAGAGTAGGAGGGTAGTTGTTTTTTAGGAGTTTTATATCCTGTGTACTGTGTAAGCCCCAGTGACCACCAGATCCCCTGATGGAGGGACATAGTTCAAGTGGGGCAGGAAAGAAACAGATGATAATGCAGTGTTTTCTCTTTGGTCTTTGGTCCTTTCTCTTGTCCTGCTGTCCTTTTACAGTAACGTCCAGCAAGGCCTGTTGAGTGTTTTTACTTTGGAGCTCTGCAAAATCCCTCCAATCAACATCCTATTGGCTTCCTTGAAGGAAGGTAGTGCACTTCAAAACCCTGTTTGCAGGACATAATGATTCAACAACCATTTTCTTTTATGTTTTCCCTCTCTCTCTTTTTTTTTTTTCATTAAGATGTTCTTTCTTTGTCAAACCCACCACTGTGGGTTTGGAGTTGAAAGCTGGTAAGTTGAAGGGATAAGACAATGCTTCTGCAGTCACCTGTTGTGTAGGGAGCCTAACTGGACATATATTTTGCATTTCAGTTTTATACCTGCTTAGAATCATTGAGCTTCTTGTGACTAATGTAATATCAAGGAGGGATTGTAGTCCATGCATTCATATATGTCTCCTTTTCCTATGATGATGAAGAAGGAGGTTGGCTGGGTCTTTTCTTTAAGGACCATGGTAAGGCAAACACAACAGACAGCCTGTTTGGACTTGTTGATTATTGTCCACATAGCAATCAGACAGCAGTAATATTTGTATTTAGAAAAGTTAATATTCAGTTTACTTTTTTTACTGAATGCCAGCTGCAAGGGTTTTTTATTCTATTTTTTTAAATATAAATCTTAAATCTCAGAATGCATGAAACAGCCATGATTTACACAACAAAGCTGGATAACTGCATATAAAACATGAGCATATGTATTAGCTACATGTACACGTACTCAAATCAGGGACATGTGCATGTGCATTTGTAAACTCAGCCATTTTCTATGAGTTGTATGAGTAAAATGCTGCTTTAATGCAACTTTTCTACTGAAACATAAAACGAAAAAGCCAAAAAGTCAAAAGGTGTACATCTGGCAGCAAATATCTCTTGGTTCCTCCTGTGTGCATTTACTATTACATAAACTATTCATACTCCTGCCATGTTGTGCACATGTGATGTGGCCAGGGATAGAGGCTGTAGTTATGCAAATGCATTTCTCATCTCACAACGACACACCTGAACAGGAAAGGCAGAAGAACATATGGATATGGAGCAAAATATAGAAAGGTCACAGTCTTAATCATAACCATTATAGTTTTGAACATACCATGCCTTTTACAACACACTTTCTTTGAGAGTCTCAAGGTACCAAACACTTTTTTTTTTACCTTAACAAACCACCCTCCTTTACAACTAGTTGAGAATTAGCATCCTTTGTATTTTCTGCAAATGAGGCACAGAGGTGTAGGATGGATGGCTTTGCTGTTGAAGAGAGATCTTAGAGAAAGACAAGCAATACATCATCTAACAGAACAGGGAGAGTCTAGTCCTCAGTTCTGGAGGTCTATGCTGAGGTTTTGATTCAATAAGGCACTGATTTCTAGCTTACATGAAAATGCTACTGTGTAAAACAACCCAAGATAAATCTGCAGTGATGTCACTGGCCAAAGACATTGAGTCAACAACATGCTGGTAAAACATAGAAGGAGTACACCAACTTCTCTTACCATTTTCCCGATCATCATAACATATGGTCCCAAATACTTGTTTACTCCGAAGATGTCTAATAACCGTATATACCAGTAAATGATGTTAACACAGTATATCACACGGCCATCACTCCGGAGTGGCAGATCTTGCAGACGGAGCACCATCCCAACAGAGAACAGGAGGATAGCTATAAGATCAGTAACGTTCCAGTACTCCTGGAGCCAAACTTTTACTTTCTGTAACAGTTTTCCAGGCTCTGACATCAATATCTGAAGGACAGAGGACATGGAGAGGAAAAGAGCTGAGATGTCTTAATTTAAGCTTGAAGAAACCTATAGTAAACAGATATATGCCACATAGGCCAAAAGCAAAGCTGATAGGCTCTTATTATATAAATATCTCATGTACTCTCTAATTTTTTTAAGAAATCTTCCATTTCAATCATTCTTAGCTTGTATCTATGTGCAAGATACTTAAAAGAAAAAGGACGAAAACCTCACTCACTCTAAAATTCCCATGAAATCAGAAGAAATATATGTATATCTTGCTGTTTTTAAAATTTATTGACCCTACTTAGAGTCTTGGAACAGAGGGAGAAACATAGAAAGATATTTCATCAGAAAATTCACATTTGAAGAAGCTGTAGATTTAAAGAAAATTATTCTAAAATTTGTATCAAACTGTCATAAATTAATTAATAACAATAAAGATCTGGATTTAGTGTTTAATCCAGACAGATACTAGCTACTCCTTGGACCTGGTTTTGGAAATTATATTCCACAGCTGAGAATATAATTCACAAAAATAATTAATCTTACCTTATGAGTTTATCGTCATTCTATTTTGCAAGATCATTTGGGAGACTTGATTGTTTTCCTGAATTACTGTTGAAACTATTCCTCAAGTGATTTCTATAAATAATTCCTAGCTTTTAGTGAGTTAACAAGCTGTTTGTTTTAATTTTCTATATTTAGCCTGAGAACATTTGAGCAGACTCATATGGTTCCTTAAAAAGATGAATGCCATTCTTATAATTTTCTTATAATACATTTTCAGAATGAATTTTAGGCTCATCTTCTGTGAACAGTCTCTAACATCTGCTCAGAAATCCATTCTAACAAATGTTCTTGATAAACTTGTGGAAAATACAATTTGGGGTGAATGATTAGACAAAAATGGCACACACGATTCCTGCCAGCAGCACCTGCTGAGCCAGCGGTGCTTTGTCTCCATCACCGTTGCACAGTCCTTGTGTGGCTACTGCCACTGTTTTCCTTTTTCTTTTGGTTAGTGAAGTACACTCATTATAGGCCATGCAAGTAGTGTCTTTTCCTCTATTCTTTTTATTTATAATGTAGAGTTTACTGTACAGTGTTTGAAATCTGTCTTTGAAGTCTAAGTGGCTGTTGCAAGACCATTTTTAGTCTAGTCCTCAAAAGCATTCGCCACAGAAAATACAAATGTAGATGGTAACAAATTCAGCCCAGGGGCACGAATGTGCTGTTTCAGCTGAGGTCAATGGGACTCGCACCCACTCACATCACAACTGAATTTGGCCCCTGGTGTCATTGTGGAATAAATGCGCATTTGGCCAAGTGAAAAGGGCACACCAGTAGCTGCAAGTGGGAGACACCATGAGGGGCAGGGGATGGCAGAACAACTTCACGTTGCCCGTAGACTGAGTGACAGCTTAAATGCTCCATCTCTGCTCTATGTGTCTGCTTTAGCATCTTTAGGGAGATGCATGCCATTGCTTGACATAATTAGCAAAAATTTTCAAGATTAAAAGGGGGAAATCCTATTACAAATGTGCTGCAATACTCAATGTGGATCTAAATTTTCCCCCAATTATGGCTGGTTTTATTTAAAGCCTTTGTTGGACAGACAGAGCAGCTGTAAATTTTAAATGAATTCTATTTGGGGTGGGGTGGGCATTTGAATGTGGGCTTTTTGATTGTCAAGCTGTCACCATGTCTCTGTGTCCATTCTGTTATAGCATATCTCCTTTTCCTCATACTTCAGTTTCTGGGCCGCATTTCAAGGAATATAGCTGAGCTTTAAGATGTGTCAGAAGACCACCCCATACTTGTGAATGCTATTAAATGTGCATCACACAGAAATCTGAACAGAGAAATTCTGTGGGAGAAAGAGAGATATTCTTGATTTTAAAATGGAGGAAGATAATTTTTTTTTTAGTGCTGTGTTTTTAACAATCCATCTGCTTTTCTGCAAAAAAAGTGCAATTTTATAATAAGCCTGTTCATCAAAAATTATCCTGAGAAAAATAACAAAAACAGATATTAAAATGAAAAAAACCCACACATTTCTTTTTTATTCTGTCTTTCCTGGTTGGGGTGATTTTACCTCTCTCATCTTCTCTATTCCCAGAGTGAAAATGTACGAGATGACAATCCATTCCTGTGTAGATGGCCAGCGATCCATCTTCACTAACACTATATAGTTGAACAACATCAAGTAGCCTATATATGCCAGCTGTAAAGAAATAAAATGAATATCAATAGTCAACATATACAAATATACAACTGAGCCTGTTTCTTGGGTATGATTTGATATTCCTAATTCCACTGTAACCAGAGTTAAACAGACAAAAGAACAATCAGACGATATTCTGGGTTGTCTGAAAAACCTCACATTAAATCACATACAGTGTGGAATATGCAAAATACATGCACAAACGTCCTCTCCTCCAGCTGCATCTGCTTCCCCAACAAAACTGTATTAATGCAGTCCCCCTGGATCATCCCACAGCGGTGGGAACACTGATACCTCTATGGTGACTACTAAACTAAGTTACCTATGTGAAGATTTCTCCCTCATCTGCTTCTGACACCTTTTACTCCTCTAACACCCCTCCTTTATGCTTTTTTTCCCTGTTCACCTAGCCTGGGCTGACTCTGGCATTCCAAATCCTTTTTGCACAATCCTTGCCTGGAGCCCAGAAGGTCCTAGGTGTTGCTAGAAATCTTCCTACCCAGTGCAGTATTGACCTAACCTATACCATGATTCCTCCCCAAAACACTGCTACTCCTACTCACATTGCTGCAGCAAGTAGCCAGGCATAGCCATGCATTCATTTGCCTTGTATTTTTTGAAAGTATTTATGTATAACTGGTTTGCTTTTCCTTCTCTAATATATCTACCTTCTGGCCTAATTTTTGATACAGTGGAAAGTGTGGATTGGGTTTAGTTTATTTTTCCTTTCTTTCTACATGCTGAATGTAAAGAAATGGTCAGTCAAAAAAAAAAACAAGACAGGCAAATTGCATCATCAAGTTCATAAAACTCAGAGAAACTCGAGTGTTACGCTGGAGCATGGGCTGTAGCAAGGGTGAATGGCTGTGGCTGGGGTCTGTGGTGGCCAGAATCCAACTGCCTGTCTACTTTGCCTTTCAAACAGCAGATCTACAAGAAAATGCATCTTAAGGCAAATTTAAATCAGAGAAAAGCTGATTCAGTTCTGTGCATGAACATTTTAGTCATTGTGGCAGAAAGCTTATTCCATACATCTGTATTTCAATAGTTTTTCTCTCTCAACTGCATGTTACTCACAACTATTGTGTACTTGGTGTCAGACTTAACATGAAAAAACCACAGAGGGGCTTGAGACTTTTGGGTAGGATTATTTCAGTGTTCAGCACCTCACAGAACAGGATTTATAGTCCTGTTGTATTTGTTAGGAACATCACTTCTGCTCTGTGTAAATGCCATGGGGTTCTGGCTTTTCTTCCAGTTGCTGGTTTGAAGGACACTCGAGAGAATTCTTTATGTTGGCCATAACTATCAGTACAGAGAAGACAGCCAGCTGAACCACTGCTTCTTGTCTACATAAAACAAGGAGGAAATTATCTCATTTGTCTTTCAGTTTGTGTGTGATGATGGATTGCAATGCTCAGGTCTAGAGACTGGTCTTCCCTTAACAGTCCTAAAGGCAACGGAGAGCAATATTGACTTAGGTCAGCATCTAGGGTGTCAGCTGAGTTAGCAGAAACTCTGTCTGGGCAGGCAGAACTGGACGCACACCTCCCTAGCTGAAATAACACCTTCTACTATAGTGCAAAAAGCCAGGTGATACTGTCACCTAACACCCCTCCTCTTAGATCTTATTGATTATTAATTATCAGCAAATCTTATTAATTTGGTCTGACTCAGCAGCCTTAGGTAAGCATTTGCAGTTAGTGTGGAAAAAGAATAGGGACATTAAGGTTACAAAGGTGACAGAAACCACAAGACTCTCGGTGGAACTAGGGGCTTTTGCTTGTTCTTCATTTTCTTTTGAGGCATTGGGGTTTTTTGGTTTTGGTTGGGTTTTTTTTGTCATTCCAAATTTACTGAAAATTGCTAAATTTTTTGCTTGGCCAAAAAGAAAAAAAAGAAAAGAAAAAAAATCATCTTGATTTAAGAACAAAATGATGCTGAAACTGCACCACTTTAACCCAAGAAACAAGCCCTTCAGATAGTGAGTGACACCCTCCTTCTCCCTCTCCAGACTTGCTCCTGCCTTCCAGGAGGATGTCCTGATGCCACACTGTGGTCAAATCTCAGTACAGCTGTCCATGCTGGTACTCAAGATTCTTTGAAAGTGCTACTGTACAAGTAACTGAACCCTCTTTTTCTTGTTTTCACATGGCTTGACAAAGAGCTAGTGGTTGCCATTTTCACCCTTGAGGGCAGTAGCTGAAGAAACTAAGGAGAGGAATGCCTGCTAGGAGGTTTCTAGGTGGGTTGTTCCCTGTCCTCCTACAGATGCTGCCCCATTCTATAGAAAATACTTGAATACTCATTATGGTAAGGGACAAACCTGGAAATTGTACCAGCAGGAGAGTGCTTCAAGAGGGAGATCACTGTCTCCTGTTCTCACTGATTGCAATAATTAAATGATCATAAAGTGAAGTGGTCCCAAAATGCAAAACTTAGGGCAAAGCTGTTTTGATGTTTAGAAGATGACTGTCACTCAGGGTTCAATTCCCTCTGCGGCTATTCCTCCTCAGAAGAGGTAGAAATGTGGCCTCTTACATTGTGCTACCATCTCAACCCAAAGCTAGTTGTTAAAAGGGGAAAGCCATCCTCTTCTCCTCAAGCAATCTGTGAGATGAAACCTTTGAGTTTTGGTTTTCAATGTAACAGCCAAAAAACAGAACACAGTAGTTGACTTTTGAACCTGCTGCATGTCCAGAGAGAAAGGCTAAAGTTTTTTTGGTTGAGAAAAAGCTGTTTATTTTGGCTCATCTGTTGAGCCAAAATGTTACTTACTCAAACGTCCCTCCATTTAACCCACTCTTGTGTATTTTAAGAATGAAGGTGGATATAGCTGTAGAGTAATAGCAGGTAGGTAGGTATAGAATAATCAAATTATTTTAAATGGCATACAATAGCCATAAGTACAGTCACTTTTCTTGCATTTTGTACTGTGGAATGTAAAATTTGGAGGATTTCTTTTGAAATCTATGATTAGTATTTCTGCCTGTGTGCTTGTAAAAAGTGTGATAGCCTGTGCAATTTTAATCCTCATCTGAAAGTTGTTTTGCTTTTAGTCTCCAGGAGTTTCTCAGTATACCCAACTGGTCAAGCACTGCAGCCAAAATCAACCTTAATTTGCTCTTCAAGTTCACTGTAGCCAAGATCCAGCTTTAATAAGTGACCTTGATTGAGACCTGCCTCAGGACATAAAACTGTAGAACAGGTTTAAATGGAAATGCAATATTGATCTTTTTCTCCCATTTCAGAATTGAACTAACAGGGACAGCCAGGATGCTTCTTTCTGTATACAGTGTAAAGACTTTTCTGGTTATGCATAATACATATTGCAATTGATAATGAGACTAGGCTGCTGATGAGCAGTTTCTAGACTCATCGGCCTGATTAATGTTCAATGGCCACACAGTTCAGCAAGTAGTTACTCCAAGTTGCCAAACTGGAGCTATTTGCTAGCATAAGCTGCCCACCACAGTTTAGTCTCTGTTGATGTGAGCTGTTCCTGTTTTCTGTAGACGTATTGCCTTGATCTCAGCAAGGTAATTTTTCTTATAAGAAGCCATCTACAGAAGGATGCATTCTTTGTGATTTGCTGTGCATTCAGCAGAATGACAGAAAATATAACTGGGAAGGACCACCTGAAATCATCTGGCCAATTCCATGGTGCTGAGGCAGGATTAATTACAGTGTACAATAGTGGACATGTGTTTTGATAAGACAGACTTAGAAATCACTAATAATGGAAAATCTACCACCTCCTTACACAGTTTATGACAGTACTTCTCAGAGCAGTTAGAAACTGTTTCCTAACATCTTACCTAGAACCGCCTTGCTGCAATTTAAACCATTACTTCTTGTCATATTCAGCAAGGATTTAGAGATTATTCCATTTTGTTCCTCTCTGCAGCTACTTACACATATTTGAAGACTATTACATCCTTCTGCAGACTTCTTTTTTCCAGAGAAAACCTCATTTCCTTAAATCTTTCCCCTTAAGTCATGTTTTACAGACCTCTTGAAACATTTTTCTTGTTCTTTTTTGTGTCCTTCAAACCAGTCCATACTTGTCACGTGATGCAGAAGCTGAACTGGGATAGAATATTCCAGTCAAGGAGACTGAAGGGATTACTTTCTGTGTTCATTTTACTTTTTGATCTCATCCTTCTACATTCTAGTGCAATTTGCAAATTTAATAACTAATCTCTACTCCATCATTCAGATTTTAAATGAAAATATCAGATAGATAGCAGCACCTGATGTAGGAGAGACCCTAATGGAATCCTTTACAATCCCTGCTTCCAGCTTGATAGTGAATAATTAATATCGACTCTTGAGGACTAATTCCCAAAAAGCTTTGTATCCACATAGTGAATTTAATATAGCAGTTATTAATTTACCTGTGAGAAAACTCTGTAAAGTTTTTGATACTGTCTTACTTTAGTCAAAATATATGACAAAATATATGACATAATTTCTTTCTGGTCCATCTACAATGTCTGTTTCTTTATAACACAAGGAGATTATACTGTTTTGACATAATTTGTCCCTGAAAAATGTACAGTAGCTGCTACTCATGTCTTTGTTATGTTGTGGGTATTTGCACAAACACTTTCTGTGAGACACACTCTGCAGACTAGTCAAAACAGAACAAAGAAAAAATGTTCCAAGAAAAGGTGTGCTCTATCTGCTTCTTTTTTCATCAATTATTTTATAATTTGATATCCCTGATTCAGCACAGCCTCCCATTGGGCTTACTATTGGGAGCTCTCCTATTGAGGATTCTCCTATAGGGAATTCCTTGGGAGCACTGACTGCAGCAAACTGCCACTTACTGTTGTATTTGAAGAAAAGCATACACAGTCATTCAAATTTTAACCATTAGCTTCCTGAATGAAATGCTAGTATTTAAAAGTCTTAGATAGGTTTGCAAGCGCTAGCTGACCTCCACAAAAGATTTTTATTAAACTATTTACAGGTAAGCCCTCCAATGCATGCAGGTGCAGACTTTCAAAGAAACACACAAGATGACCTTAATCCAATTTCAATATTTGTTGGAAGAGTAGTAATATAACAGGAAAGATTTCTTACTGTGTAAAACCAAAATTTAACGATGGGAGCATTGTAGAACTCATAAATCTTTCTTCCAACAGGGATCAGCCTGTGCCTGCTCTGAACTTCCTCTTCCTCTTTCTTTCTTGAGGACTCTCCATTCCCTCGTCCCAGCATTGCCTAAAAGAAAGGACATTTTTGTGTTTCTTTCTTTGTGAAAGAAAAATTAAGCTATTTTTTTAAATTTCAAAAGGAAAATATTCAAAACTTTTCTGATTTCTTGGTCTTTAGACAAAACCAGGTGACCATAACTAGGTGTGAAATGCTTTGTTCTCATATTATCTTTTTTGCAGGCAAGCTGCTGTTTAATACTTTGTAAACTGAAAAAGCAATGCTTTGGCAGCAACTGTCAGCACCAGTGTGAAATCCTTGGCTGCTGAACAAAAAATGACATGTGGAGAACATTTCTCCTTTCTGCTGTATGGACAGCAAAATTTTTACCTGACAACTGCTTTTTGTGGTGTACTTTTATACAATAAACAGAGGCACACAGAAAACAGATAAGTTTTGTTTTTTAAACAAAGAGAAGTTCATAAGGCTGAGACTGAGAGAGAACAACAGGGGGAAAGATGAGTTAGCAGTTGCTGGACTGGAAACAATGAAGCCAGTGACTCTTTTTATGTTGATCACTGGATCTGTCACAGGCGATGATCCCACAGTGAACTTCACATGGATGTAGAGGCCTGACCAGTAGAGTTCACTGCAGCATTAAGGCCTTGGATTGAAAGATCCTTCTACATGATTGTAGATTCTTCCATTATGAAGTTCCAGACTGCTCATGCACTGCCTCTGTTAGGCTTGATCTCACTGTTACCATTGCAATTCAGACTCACTGAAGAGCTACGCTGAGCTCCAGAAACACATACTTAAGAAGTCTTCAGCGATAAGTACAAACCTAACAGGCATAAGATGGTAATGTTTTGTTTTCTCTTAACTTCTGCTGCAGAGAGGTGGAGGAAGTGACTAAACTATATACTCGGTGAAGTTAATGCTTAAAAGAAGATGTTCCTTCGTATTTAGAGTGCAGCGTGATCTATTAAATGTTCTTGGTGAAAAAATTCTTTTGTGAATAGTAGACCAAGTGTGGCTTTTAGGTCATTCTGCCCTGAGCAATTTCTTACTATTTAGTTTGTGGCAGCACCTATAGATTGTAGCACTCCTGCACATGAAAGCAATGGCAAGAATTGAGATAAAACTGTCCTATCTAAGTATGCAGGGATTGCACGATGATGCTTTTATTTAAATGCTTCTATAATGTTTTTCTACAAGTAGATCAAAGCACTTTCGTACTTTTATGTTAACTGAAGGCAAACTTTCACCATCCCTGAAGATAACATTGTTCTCATCTGCAACTTAGAAACATGGAAAACTAAGCGCCTAAAGAGAACAATTAGATGCCAGACATATTGTCTTTCAATTAAGAGGTCCTTCTTTTATCTATCTCTGTGCTCTCTGATTCAACAGGATGTTCAGCACATACTTAACTAATCAGCTTCAGGTTAGCTATTTGATCTGGTTCTAGTGCCCTGAAGGAACAGGAGATGCACTTCTCGCATATTTAAAAGTAAGAATCGCAGTCTTTCCTTTTCTTCCTTTTTCGAACCCTCATGTGGAGCTATTCATATAGGTCTTTGGTCCTGTAAAATAGTAATTTGTAATGACAAACTGATGACCATATTTTTTTTTCTTTCAGTCAGTGTAGGTATTTGTAACATTATTAGGACCGTGTATGGTCCTAGATGGCTCCTACCTAATATTTATTTCTCTTTTGTTTCATTTATGCAGTTAGTTTTTTCCTCTGATGTTATTACTTTCCACTTGATCCCTTATATTCTTGATTTTGACTATGCATAAATGTCGCCCTGCACATTTTTAATAAAATAGAACAAAGATTCAAGACACAAGTATACTGCGCTGAAACTAACCTGCTGAGATCCTCTTAAAACTGTAGCCTGCTTTGATGAAGTTACCTTTTTCCTTTACCTTTTTATGCCTGCAGATTTGTAAATTCATTGCCATAAATGTAGATAAACCAATGCATATTAAAAAATTAAATCCTGTTGATTCTCACGGAGCACATAAAATCCCTTAAAAATCCATCAAGGGTCTCATAAAAAAGGGAAAAGATAAAGTGGCTGTTAAGCAGAGGAGAAGGGTTCTTATTCAATAAGCAGACAATCTGCAAGAACATGAGATTTACTGTATATAACTATAGTAGCAGGGATTATACAACCTTCATGGAACCCCAGGTATCATAGACTCAAAGTCTACAAAACCAGAGTGATTCCCTGATCCATATCAGGAATTGTTTATTTCGGAAAGAAAGTGGAATATGATCTGAATGCTTTGGGAAAATTATAGGCCAAGAAGGTACTTATTTCTTTGCTTCTTTCTACCTCCTGATGCTGTTTTAGGCAAATCTGCCACCTGGTGCTACAGAGTTTTCTGTAGCTTCTCCCAAGACTTTGTCTCTGCTGTCCTCTGGTGCTCAAGAATTTTGCAGCAGAGTGAAAATGAATTCTGGCAGTTATAACAAATGGGCAGTGCCGTGCTTTAGTGAAAGCGATTATTTTACAGACTTTAAATCCTTCATAATTTTATAAATTTACTAATTCTGAGACACCCTTAGCTCTCACTGGAATCAGTGAGTTGTGGATGCTTTTAGGATAATGCTCTTTCAGTACCTGGATTTATGCTTTAGCTCATGGATGCTGATTTCCTGTTTGCTGTTGCTTTCTTGTTGATAATGATGCTGTAATTTTATCTTGTTATAATTATGTTTGAAATAATTGTATTGTATAATACTAACTTCTCCCCTCCCCCATGCTACAGATGGGGAATTACTCTGAGATGGCTGGGGATTAGATTTGACCTGATGTCCCTGACTCTTAATTATATCACTGTATTAACAAATTGAAAAGCCTCCCCATTAGAAACGTACAGAAATAACTTAAGTGACTGTGTTAACAGAATAGCTGCAATGCCGAATGTGAACAAATGTGTTTTCACTTGGAGGGGGAAGAAGTATGGTGGGAACAACTCAAGACACTGCTCTGTGTGGGCGGCATCTCTTTCTCTAATACACAATTTTGTCCATGATTCACCATGAGTCATGCAAGGTAAGCCTGACAGCAGCTCAACTACATTGTAAAGTACAGTACAACTGCATCATTTTAGCCTGAGGGGATTGATGTGTGCATAGTTTTTACATGGAGATTTTTCTAATCAGGATTCTGGCTTTTTTTTTTTTTTTTTTCCCCAGATTTTGTTTTATTTAATTGAGGACTGTTCACTGATAGGGAACTAGGATGGTTTTGGGTTGTGCATTTTTGCATTGATATATGTTAATGATCCTATAATATATTTATCTGTTTTATAATTAAATAACAGGAATTTCAGTCCTGCTAGAATGATCATAGGCTCTTCAAATTTTATCCTTAGTGACATCTACATGCTAGCTATAGACTTACCCCATATTCACACAGAACTGGTGTGGAAACGGTACATAGCTGGGTAGATATCCTATACTTCTCTCTGCACACCCCATTGTATCCTACGCTATGTATGGAAATGCTGCCACCATGGTAGTTGTTCTAGGGTTACTGTTCTCTCCCTTGAAATACCGGTAGGAAAAAAGGTTTAATGCCTTTGAGTTACAGGTGTGTAAAATTGGATTTTGCACGTGCTCAGTGGTTCTTTAAGGTGAATACAGGGAAGCAGGGCTAAGCTACCCGGAGCTCAGCCATCCTGGCTGCTGAGCATGGCAAAGGACATGGAGAGTGCCAGAGCAGTTGTGTGGTGGTGGTAACGGGTGTTTCCAAAACCCTTGGAGAAATAGAGGGAAATCCCTCCTTATGGAAAGGGCTAGCACTTCTGCTCGTGACCGCCAGCAGTGTCTTCCACTGTCATTTTCCAGACGAGCTGAAGGGGCGCCTTGCTGCTGGCATGTGAGATGCTGCAAGCACTGTCCCCCAACGGGGTGGGTGACATGAGCCAGGGGCACAAGGACACTAGTCTTCAACCTTTCCTATTTTAAGAACTGTATTTTTAGTAATATAATATTTGGTTAGTTCTTGCCATGGAGAAAAGGCTAAGCATACATACTACAGATGAGATAATGTGAGTCCAGAGGCCAACTCAACTTGCTTTGCTGCTGCTGAAAAGTGCTAACTCAGACTCTTAGTGATGCCCATGGAAGTCCAGACTTCCTATATGATGTGGAAAATCAGAGCAAAATGAGCAAAACAACAACTGAAACATCTTCTACAGGAGTTAGATGAGTTATTCTGTGTTCTGAAATAAGACCATTTACTAAGGAACTCTAATACCCAAACAATAAGGCACTGAATAGGGATAAGGGTGCTCCTAGTTATGGCTTCCACAATCAGTGTTATTTTGGGAGCAGGGTAGACTGCTGGGGTTTCTGACTGATGGAAAAATCAGCAATGGATTAAGGCCCTGGTGAGGACATTGTACAAATACAAAATGTCCCTGGCCTTTAGACTTTAGTGCCCTTCTACTCCTCCGGGTCTAATATTCAGGATTAATGACTGGCAGTTCCATGCATAAATTGTGGTAAATTCCTTGGTACTGAAGGAGCGGTGATGAGAGCAGTATTCAGGCGTGTTTTTGTGAGTAGCTGCTATAAGGAAAGTCTGTTGCCGAGCATCTAGGTGTTAAAGAAATGTGTGCCCAGCACTCTCATATATCTGTTATAAAGTTAAAAGCAGGTGTGAGTAACAAGTAGTTTACAGTGAATAAACACTGCATCTTTATAGTATATCCAAATGTTCAGCTACCCACCAGATCCTTTGAGAGAAGCATAAAACAAATGCATACTTGCATGCAGATGCACCCATGTGGAGACCTACTTCACTGTTGCTGTAGTCTGTGTGATCACATTATTCTGTGCAAATGAGGTGTAAAATAGTGCAAAAATCACTGTGGCCCTGTACCTTATCCACGCTGCACAAGTGCAGTCCAGAGGAAGAAACTGACTCTTTTGGCCTATCATTAGTCACCTGGACTCAGCAGTGCAGGACACACAAGACTTCATAAGAAATCAATGAACAGACCTTGACTAGATGTGATCTCTTTATCTTAGCAGTACTTTTATGAAAATGCATATGGGCATAATATTATAGGAATACAGATACTTCAGAAGTATTCATTGGGAATGATTAGAAACAGAGAACAGAGTTAGACAGATTGTTTGGATGATACATTATTTGCCAGAAATGGACTTTTGAGGTGACCAAAATAATTTTTAGTTCATCAGTTTTGTTTGTTTAAGCTTTAAGCTTAAATGAATAAAGCTTAACCAAAGCTTGACCTAAGCCACAGAAAAATTTTGAAAATATTTTAAACAATCATGTGCCAATAAAAGAAAGCTGCAGTAATCACGAAAAAAAAAAAAAAAGTATTTTTTTTGTCCTGAAAGGAAAAAATGTGGAGAAAAAATATGCAGGTCATTCTGAATACAATAGTCGCAAGCTATTGTATTCAGGGTGAGTGACTGATCTATTGAGCCAGAGTTCAGCAATTGATTAAACATTTGTGATATCATATCACAATCAATTATTAATCTTAATGAACTATTAATAAAGTGTCCTTAATAAAAGTGTGGCTAAAGGAAAACTTCACAAAGGCACTTCCCAAACAGTCTTGCAGGCATCCTCTCATCAGTGGAGAAGAGACCCAACCTAACTTATGCCAGACTATTTGACTAAGTCTGGAACAATTCAAAACTTCAATCTAAAATATTTTCTTATATTTAGACCATGTCAGGTAGGAATGCTCTCCCTGACACGATGCCTGAAGGTGACAAAATATAACTGGCTCTGGCATCTAACCACAGAAATATATGCAAAGGTCTCTTTGCTAGCAAATCATCTCTCCTCATCACTGAAGGGCACCTGAGTGATGAAGCTGTGCTAGAAGTCCGAAAGCACAGTATAGATTATACACAGAAATGTTAAGCCAGCAGTAGTGTACCAAAGATATTGTTTCTAAACTTGCTGGACTCCACAGAAACAGTTCTTATTTTACAGAAAAGGCTGTAAGTGTCTGAAACTTCACTAGAATGATGCATCAAATTTGAAGGAGTTAAGGGCAGAGTCAATGACAGCAAAGAGCAGTAGGACTGTCAGCACATGGAAGGGAGAAGGGAAGACATCTAAGACTCATCTGGAAAAGCAGATCCAGTTCACACATCACTTCCTTGTAGCAGGAGTCAGAAGGTAAAAAGGAAACACAGTATTGTAGACAAGAAACCAGGAGCTGGGACAACTGCAGAGAGATGGAAATGACTTCCTCCCCAGATTTCTTCCCATTGCCAAGAAAAAGGCAGCTTGAAAAGTGCTTATTTGATTTGAATAGGCACTTCATAAGTGGATCAGAAGCCGGGGATAGTAAATTACAATTAATAGCTAATGAGCAGAGAATAGCCCATTGCTGCTTTTCTGGCTACTGGTCCTTCCCAATGGCCAGGTTCTTGCCTGCAAACGGGTCCTGTAGGTGGGTCTTGTGGGCTGCTCCTTCGGCTTCCCCGCATATTGGGTCCTGTAGGCAGGTCCTTCTGAACCCTTCTTTTTTGCTGGGGGAAAAATTCTTTTTTTTTTTTTTTTTTTTTTTTTTGGTTTGTTTGTAAAAATCCCTTTTACTTCTATGCCTCTATCCTGACCTTGACCAACTGGGGTTGCGTTTTAAGCTTTTCAAAGACACCTCAATCAAACCCAAACCAAAGCAAACCAAACTAAGCTAAGGCAGGTCTGATAGCTTATATGATAATTGCCCAAATTAAAAAGTGTCAAACAAGTCTGAGAACAAGAAGGAAGTGACTTGTATAGTTTTCAGAGCATTAGCTATTTTGATTCTCTTTGTGGTGCAAATTATTCCTCTCAGGCTATGTTATTAATACAGACAAGTCCTTCCTTACACAATTCTGCTGAGCTGCAGAAGCTCTTAATAAGGGCTGAGCTGTCTAGCTGCTTGCTAATGTCTTCAGTGGATTAGAAAGTGCATGCGTGTATGTGCGAGAGGCAATGACCACAAATTCACAAAGAATAATGGAAGACTTAGCAAGGTTCTTTTCTACCAGAGAGGCCTACCCATCTATCATGGCTGAGTGATTTAAATTCTGAAATCTCATTAGTTTATTTCAGACAATGTGGCATCAAATTGAATCAAAATACAAGGATATTACATCACAACATGATGCTTCAGCATCACCATGCGCTGCTGCAACATCGAGACACAATGATGCCAACTTGTCTGGTTTGAGTCCCACTGAGGAGAGGGGAGTGTTAAGAGTGGTATCCTATCATCTGTTAAATTTAGCCATCAGACAGCCTGCAACACCCACAGAGGTGGGAATAACAAATGGACAGCACTAAGGCTGGTGATTTATTGTCGGCACTTACAGTGAGTTCCATGTCCTCCTCCTCTTTTTCTTTCACTGGCTTCTCTGGTTCCTCTGCCTCCTTCTCTTGAAGATGGATCTCGTTGGCCTGGGACATGTAAGGCATATCATCTTTGTTCTTGAACTCCAAGCTGAGGATTGAAGGAGGAAGTAGAATTCCTAGAATTACCTAAAGCAATAATAATGATAACAATAATCATCACAGTAAACAGATTACAATCATTATGGTTACTTAGTATCAAATGGAACAACTGCCACAGGACATTTAGGAAAAGACATATGTGTGCATGTGAGTTTCTATGACAATAGCGTATTTGTTATTTGGGGTAACTTTCAGAGCTCCATAGTAAAACAAAGCACGTAATTTCTGTTAGCATTGCTGTGAGTGCTGTGGCTAATTGCCTCTCAAATATTTTATCTGCTTGCTCATTAGATGCATATTGTTGAATATATATAGAATATATCTACAAAATCTTACATAAGGTCAATGGCAGGTGGGACCACGAGGGTGTTCATACCTTCGACCTGCAAATTTCTGCATTTTACATAATAGACAATACCTGTGTAAATGACACACAAGCAGTTTTAATTTCTACAAAGAGGGTTAATAGGTCTCAAGCTCTCTGTGTCCATACTTAATGCACACAGGTAGTCAAGGTGTAAGCATGTGTGGATCTGAGGAGATAAGGCAACGCCAGCAATAGCAAATGCTGATGTGCTTAGCTATGCAGTCCCCTTAGATTTTGCTTCAGTAACCTGGCAGCTGTGTAATGCTCATGTTAATGCTAGCTCTTTCTTTTCTGCCTTCCCTCTCTTATGATGTGGGAGTGCAGAAACCATTAAAATTACCTTGTGTGGATATATGCAATGAATGATGCTTGGGGTTAAATCAGTAGTATAACTGAAGAGATATCACAATAATACAGAAGGAAGTGCCTTGTCTGTATTCACAGACACAATAGCTTTTCCTGGTTTTGCGGTAATCTCATGCAAAATTATTTTGTTATAAATCTCTCCCTAAATGACAGTGAAACCAAATAGTTAGCTTGTTGGCAGGTCAGGGAGGGTGACTGCTTGTGTTCATCATATCGACAGATAGCATCTGTGTTGTTGAAACCATCCAAAGTACTGCAATTAGGAGCAGTTAGCATATATGAACGCTGTGCCCAGCCTCGGAAGAAAACTGAGCACCAGGCTGCCTGCACTGGTCCTGCACTTGGCTTGTTGCGCAAAAGGATGCCCAGGGAGAGGGGGTTATGGGCAGACCTGGCTTTCCAGAGAGGCTATTTTTAAGAATAGACAGGATTAACAATTGCCTCTCCCTCTCCCATTGGTGCTATACATCCCCGGTGAGACTCTAAAGAATTACATTCATCCTTCTTGCCATTTGCCAGTTTTGATGGGAGAAAATTGTTCATGGGAAATAATCCATGACTTGTGCTTGCAAATTTATTTCTTTGCCATGCTGTCTCTTGCTCATGTAGCTTGTAGCCTGCTTTAGCTTTAAACAGGCCCTGCTAATGAGCTTCAGTGAAATAAAACACAGACTAGAAACTGAGTAAAGGATCCCTGTGAAGCCCTGATGTTACAAGAAGCTGAAAGGAAACAGAATCTGTTACCTTCAGTTATTCATTGTGAAAGAAAGGTCCATTTCATGGCTTGAGATGCATGCTGTAAAGAAGAAAGCATGCAGAGGGAAATGAGTTGCTGCACTGATCCCAAGGTTGAATATCTGCAAAGCCAAGTAGTGAACAAGGCAGCAGTCCCTCTGAAGGGCAATGGGCCTGTGAGTCAAGTCAGAAAAACAGGTAGAAAAGATGCCTCCAAATGTGAGAATGCTTTCTATCTGTAAGCAGAACAATGTTTACGCACAGCTGCTGCAGGAGGATGATGAGAATGCTATCAGCCACTTACTCTCATTCATCACTGTCACTGGATTAGACCCAGTATGATAACGATGCACGTACTTATAAGCATTCTCACCATTACTGAACATCTTTTCACACAGCAAAACAGCTGAGCAATTACCAATTTTCACACACGCGATTAATGCAGGAGAGAGAACCCCTTCACTGAAAATACTTCTCAGTCATCTGGGAGGAAGACGGAATTCCTGGTTATGTACTAACTGGTGAGTACTTTGGTGAAGGTGAAAGATGCCAGCCCATGGACACATACTCACCTCCCAGAATTCACCTTGCTCTGTTAGCAGTTTCACTAACTGTGGAAGTAAAGCTTAAACAGCTTTGAAAACTGAATTATCCTCTACATCCTCTGAGGTAGTCCCTTCAGGTCAGTCATCAGGAAGATTGGCAGGGGATTGGCAGTACCAAAGAAAATTTGTACTGCTTGCTTTGGCCTGTTCTGGGGAAGGTTGCCGGATCAGCACTTTTCACTAGAGGTTAATTCACTTACACATCCTTTTTCTTTATTTATCTTTAAAAACATTGGCTAACTCCTCAGGTATCCAGGCAGTGTGACATACTAACCTCCTGGCTCAATTCTTATTCTGATAACTCTCACTGATGCTGGAGGGGGCTTTGAGAAAGATGATGAAAAAACTAAGAAACATGCTTTGAACTTGGGTTTGTGATAAGCTCCCTGCTGAAAAACTGAACACAGGAAGAATATACCCTGCTTAATGTCACTACAAATAAGCACCTGAAATATGGTTAATTGAGCTAGTTATTACTGATTTGTTGTGAGCCCCGTCACCATCTATTAGAGCTCCTCTGACTGTTAATTTTATTTTAAAACAGTGCTGACCTTTAGGCCAGAATTTTTGCGCATCCGGAGACGACCCATCCACATGTCTGTGAGCAGCATTTGGCTGCAAGTGTGAGCAATGAAGTCCCTGTGCTTGGCTGCCACTGCGAGCTGCAGGCACGTGGCGTTGCTCCAGTTCTTTAGCTCGTAGGTCAGCAGTTTCATTGCCAGTTGCTCATCCTGCTTGTACGACTGGTCCAACAGCTCCACTGCCAACTGGCCGAAGTCCCTGCAACAGAGCAACATTCGTTCATTCCCATTAGCCCAAGCAGCCCGATGCAGAAAACACCCCTCTGCAACTGACAGCCTCTGCAAGGGGGGCATCACCTTCCATCATGCAAATCGTGATATTGACTGTACACATGGAAACCCACATTTTCAAATGTGAGTGGCTAATGGTAGGCATATAAATAAATGCCCCAACTTAGCAGTGATGAGCACCCACACCTACCAGCTGTCTGCTCCCACCTGCCTGCCCACCTCCCTGACATTTTCTAGCTGAAATCCTCTGGTTATCTGCAGCTTAGAGGATTGCTTCTGTGCTGTTTGCCCATGGCTTTGTGGTCAAGGGTCCTGGAAGAAGGAGTGTCCAATACCCTTTTTTAAATCTGTGTTTCCAGCTTTTAACATCAGGAAAGATTATTATAGAATCTAGTATCTTGGCTTGCTCACCTAAGCATGAGCTCTTGGTTAATGAACACTTTTGCCTGAATATTGTGTTCATAAGGATTTCAGCAATTGTTCTGGTTGGGATGAACAGAATGTCTTGAAAAAGCACAGAGAAAGGTTGCAGCCTGACTCTTGAGGCCTCAGGGAGAACACGTAGACAATATAGGTATTTCATTGCCTTCTTGACATCTTCTCACTTCAGAAGTTACACTGCTAGCAACTCTGCTTCTTTGGCAGATAGACAGGTTGTTTAAAAGCCATTTAGACTTTCTCTAAAGGTTTTCTTTAAACCCAGGAAAGTGTACATGAAAGAAAATTCACCTGGAATTATGGTTTAGCTCTTGGGATATGTCATCCACCATGTCGTTTTCTGATGCTTCGTGGGCCATGGCTTTGCAGAGTTTACAGGCCACCAGTGCTTTAGCCATAGCCTCTTCCCCATGCTGCCAAAAGAAGAGGGCCATCTTCTGACGCTTCATCAGCACAGCCCACACCATCAGCTCGTGGAATGGGAAGGGGAAATGATTGATCTCAGGGTCATCCAAATCAATATCAACTTCTTCTTCTCTTTTTTTTGTTGTTTTCCTCCCTCGCCGCAAAGGGACATCATCCTGTGAGAATTGTAGAGAAATTTTTTTCACCAGTGAAGGAACTGAATCAGTTCACACAATGCATTGGAGTCAGTACCTGAGATGTCAAACACATTCCCTGCAGGCCAGCCCCTTCAGCTTTTTTGGACAAAATATTTAACATAGGAAAATGATGAAAAAAGTATTGGTCCATGCACTGTAATTAAGAAGTCAATAATTCCATACCTAAACACAGGGAAAAAGAACTTTGGACTATCACTCTGAACCATTCTTTCTCCCTAAGAACACAGAGCACAATCACACAATATCCAGAACCATTTTGGAAAAGCCACCATTAAAATAAAGCTAAGAGTTCATTCCAAATATAACATCTGTTGTAATGCATCCGCCTCGTTCCACCTCCAGAAAGTACATATCCAGGGGATGTTCTGGTCTGCTGAAGACTCCCTCCCTGCTTATTCTTGTGTTTTCTCCCTTTATCTTCTCACAAGAGTAGGAATCTCCTTTCTTCACTGCCATTTTGCCTTTGTATCCCACCTTTACCCCTTCTTTCTCCAGCTCTTTGTTGTTTCTATCGCCTTTAGTTTCTTTCCCATTTTAGCCTACTGCTTTTATCAGATGAGCTGGCCTGTTCTGTGCTGTGTCTGTGGACAGCAAAATGAAAGTTGTTGTATAAAATAAACAAGCAATAAAATATTACTATCTCCTTGAAGCATCAGGGTAGCCAAAATTGTCAACAAAACTGATAGAAATTTGGCCCATGTAAAGATTTCTGCATCATTCTCTGCAACTGCCTCATTTCTCTGAACACGTTTTAAAGTTATATAGTTATCTGACTGAAATTCTGCCTGGTCTGACAGACTGAAACATTTTGTTTAATCTTCATGAAATGAAAAATGATGCATAGAGGGGGCAAAGCCTTCTTTTCTCTTGTCTATCTGCTGGAGTTTTATTAAGAAATGTTTCTTAATCTGGCCCTTGTGTAAACAAGTTATCTGGATGAAAAATACAATTTGTGTGGCACATTTCTCATACAAAACTTGAAAACTACTATTAGTGCCTTCATTACAGTTAATTTAAACATTATTTTGATACAGTGTATATTTGTCAAAGAAGGAAAAGACATCAAGATTTATCACAGGTCGCCTACCTCCATTCCCAACAGTTTCAGGGCTGCTGGCTGTATAAAAAAGTTAGAAAAATGTTATTTCTCCCAGAAGGGTGATGAAAAACTACAACTATATGTGTATATATACATACATACATGCGTAAGTGTGTGACGTGATGTATAACATAATATAGATTATATAACAGACAATACATAATATAATATAGATAATATATATGTAATGCAATGTAATGTAATATAATATACATATATATATCAACCAAATAATTACATATATATATTTAACTCAAACTTAAGTTTGACCCTATTTCACCAAAACATACAACAGAAGACATACATTTGCATTCAGGTAGAAGTAACCCCTTGTTTGGGGCTGTTCTAGTGGAAAAGAGTTAGGAATTACTGCTAAGGCATGAATGGATTTCTCTGGAGTACACCAGTATTTTGCCCATTCCCCTGGCACACTTTTATTGACTGCTGTGGAGCTGCTCTGTATGTTGGTTCAGTATCTGTGAAATTGCTACTCAAATGCTTTTCTTGATGGAGTGACTAAGGGAAGTAAGTCTCTCCTAGCAGCTACAATTACTGCCTTTCCTCTCAAAAGTGAAGAATTAAAGTGCAGGGAAAAAAACCAAACCCATTTCAGGTGTTTGGCTGTAACCATTTCACAGAGCTGTTGCTCTTTATAACCACTTAGAACGATACTCAGTGGTGTGTATTGCTAAAATCTGAACTGAGACAGGAAATGAAAACGTGAGGTAAAAATAGGCAAAGAAAGAACTACAAATTTTACTGCGAGCAGTTAAGCAGGTTTTTCTTCATGCTGGATTGGGTCAGTGGCATTATGGATGGCAATAAATATCTCTTACGTTTTAGAAAGGTAGTAAACTTACTTTGTATTCACGGTATTATAATCTATCAAACATGAAAACCACAACAATACTGAATGGTGTTTTTGCCATGAGCCCACTGACTCTGCTCGGGCCACATCCAGCCAATAAAGTTAAGGGTTTCTTTGCCCTGATACCTTCAGGTCACAATCAAGAAGATGAGCCATGAGATAGATAGGAAATATGTCTACCAAAACACAAGTTTTTTCAAGTCTAACTCATGTGCCCTATGGTATTATTGGTACAGGTCAAACAACTTGTATTTCAAAAGCTGTGGATACTCATAATTACAGATTTTAGAGCCAGAGGAGACTGTTTTATGTCCTGATCTCACAAGAGCAGCAGAACCCAATATTCTTTTCCTTAAATTCATAAAAAATGCAGCTTGTATCAGTGGGTGGCTTGCGGTGCATTGTGGTGAAATAACTGCTGTGTACATAATGGAAATGAACCTGTAGACTGAATAGTGTGTGCATGTGGATCCCCCCAGCCTGGAACCATCTAAGAAGCTATGGTAATCCCTGCCAGTGGGTGCAGTCATACAAATGGCAAATAACTTGCTCCCTTCCCTCTTGGGCCCAAATAAAT